TTATCCCTCTCTCTCTCTGTTGCTCGTTTCGGGACTAGTTAAGTGAACTTCAAACAGCACACCAGCTACCGGCGTTTTATTGTCACGGTGCGTTTCGTGATGACCGATCACCGGGTATCAGGTTCACTTTGTGTAGCTTAAAACATTTTTAAACATTGTTTCCCAAATATCATGTGGTGATCTGATGAAGTTTGACCTGTGATACTGTTTTACTAGCCTCGAGGTCAGCTTTTTATGGTCCATTTATCAATATAGTCAACCTGGTTTTCAAGTTTCCGGAGCATGTGACCTGATTAAATTGGAAAACCATGCAAGAAATCGATCAAATGCTTGCTATCCGTACGTATCACGATCTCGGATCACACGGATTAATATTGGCATGCACAGTTAATTGATTGATATCATCCAGTCAGAATACTGGGTTTCTCGCAGCCAGTAAACTTCAAGATTGTTTTTTAAAGGTCATAAACAATAACAATTATGAATGTGAGTTTCAGCTTTGTAACGAAACAGTGACTTGCTGCATTGCGGTTTGAAAAGTTTTATTGTGATAAGTAAAGGAGGACAAGGGTTTTATTAGCAGTATTACTTCTTCAATATATAAGCTGAACTGAAATGTCTAGGGATAACCGCTTTCATTATCTGACTGCACTACAATCTAATACAATCCCCCGGTAATAAATTACCAACGATATGTGAGTCATCTGAAGTCATTTTCTGTCAATCCAGGTTAAAACTCCTTGCTGTTAATACAATATGCAGTGATGATTGTACGAGAGAGTGAACAAGTATTGTCAGGTGGGGGGGCGAGTGAATTTTATGAGGATAAAAACTGCAGTTGTACGTGACAAAATGAAAACGAATAGATACTATGAGAAGAAAATCCTAACCGTTTTCTCGCCGAATATCATATGAAAGCTGGGCTGGACAAGACAATGCGGTGTTGAAACCATTGTATTTTGAACAGACCAGTCTGAAGAAAGACTGCGGAAGGAGTTCGTTTTGCACACTCTTAAAGTTTACACTTGGATGAACGAAAATACGACTTCACCATTTTGCATCAAAATATTAACCGTGAGGAGTTTTATTTATTTTCAAGAGTCCATGTTGCCCAAGTTCATGGTGACTGGTAACCGCTCACTGCAACATGCTGAAAGTTTTCCTGAGCAGGTAGCATGCTTTTGCACAAATTAAAAACGTATACAACAGTATGAATGCTAACATTGGCCAAGGAACTGATTAGATTCCATCATCTTGTGCACACTTGTGAGGAGTGGGTTTGCAAGATTACGAAAGGTTCAATAAAACCGACCCGCATAACGCAGAGTAGATATATATATATATTCTAATTGAATCACCCTTTTCCCACGCAGATTTAATAAAATTGCTATTACTCCCGGATTATCTTCGATACCAGTTCATTGCAGCCCCGGTCAGCTGTAACCAAATACAAATATTCTTTTGAACCGAAGTCGCAATTTTCTTCCAACGTATTTCTGTTTTGATGGGGATATTACCTTGGATGTGTATTAAATGTGCTTCCGTTTAAATCAAAATACTTACGCAATTCAGGAAGCAATACATAGAATTTATGCACCTCTTTACTAAGTTGTGTCACATCTGCACTGCACGTACCACCATATCCTTGAGTTTGTATCCGTTTTGAACATAGTTATACTATAAAACACTTATTATAATAGTTTCAATGTTAATCGTTGAAGGTCCAGTTTAACATTTCTTCAAATATATGTTTATCCATGTGCATGCTGATGGATGTTACATGAGCAGTTCTTAGTCACATGGTTTTGTCGTTTATTTCAGGACAGAAATCATTTATTAGAATATCCACTTAGTACCATATGAACACAAACATGCTACTCCGAATACCCTCATGAACATTCCCTGAAACAACAGTCATTTAATAAACATATTGGAGTTCCATCGTTTTCCGAACCAAACATTTTGCAATTCTCAGCTGTAACACCGCAGGGAGAGGTGAAATTGTTAATCCAGTTGTGAGGTAAATGTTCATACAATAGCTTGGTTTATGTTCTTTTCCTCTTATGCGTCTGTGTGACCATAGACGACATAAACATGCATGATGATAATTTAGATTTATGGGAATGGGTGCAGTGGGAAACCCAAGTGGTTCCGGATGCAGCCGGTCGATTCAATCAATTGCCTGCTTTCATGATTTCCATTATCCGTTGTTGGTAAAACCCCGAATATAGAATTGGTGCATAATATTGTTTATCCCGGTGATTGATCTAACTATTCTGCAATTCACATTTGCAACGACACTTCTGATTTCACTACTGTTTCATAAACAAGGATTTTGATTGCCAAACTATATGTATCTCAGGTTTTACACATTATGAGGTCAGTGTGTGCAGTGTTGATGAACGTCGCTTCTCGTCGCTTCCTAAGTTGATTGCCTTTTGGATTGCAGACCAGGTGTTCCGAGACTTGCATTCACCGAATTCCGCCGATACGTATGCATTTTTTGCTGTTGCCGACATTTATCGATATTCAACCGTTTTACAGCTGCGCCGTGTGATGTAAACATAGACGTTTCGTATGTGAGATTTGAAACCTGCAACCTACCCGTCTCCCCCCCCTCTCGATCCCCGTCCACGAATAACTCTTTTCCTCTCGTAATCACAATCATCACCTTAACCACTTCCCCTGCAAACGATTTCACGACTAATGAGTTATTTAAGGCTCTTCGTTCACGATTGATCGACTACAAATATGTGCTGATTTTCTTGCCAAATTCGATAATGAAAACGAGAAGCAAAATTTCAGTTGGAATTTTCGGTGCAATGCACTCCTGGTTGATGTTGTATAATTTCCATCACGTGTGGTTTCCAGCGGTGAGAACGAGAATGAGATGGCACGTGAGCCGGCTCCCAGCTGTTAAATGCGACATGTTTATGCGGATTGTACGTTCTTCACAAATCACTTACATGCTAGACTCCAAACGGTGCTAAAGGTTTATGCATCATGCTTTTTTCTTTGTGCTGCACACTACTGATTAGCCATATAAACACCGTCTCTGTGACTCTATACATTTTTGAACTAATCCGGGTAATGTTTATTCATTTGACTCGAAGCAGCTGCTTCCAACGGCTACTCAAACGTCCACCGCACACTACATATGTATACCATCTGGGTCTGCACCAAGTTTTAAACATCGAGTTTGTAACAAATGCCTGAATACCAGAAATATATTACTAGCATAACAGGAAAATGGTGAATTCACTGAAAACTCGAACTTAGTCCAGAATGATTTGCTCCGAAGTTCATTTTATGCACTTACGACCTTATACTTTGAGGCAATGTCTTGCAGTTTTCTTTTTGAGTTCGTCGGTCGGCTGGTGTTTGTATTCATCCAAATATGGGCTTACGACGACCTCCCAACTCAGAGATGAAAAGAAGCAACTAAAGAGGTCACGTTATGATGAGCCAAAACACGTAATCCAGAGTTAAGAACAAGCCCCTGTTGTGGTCTGCGGTCGAGTGAAAGGTTTACCGCGCATCACGTGTTTCACCGTTGCGGCCTGCCACCACACGCACGGACGCACGTCATGCGGACTTACCCTGTTACAAGGTCGATCCACCTCAACGAATCAGAGGTCAGTATTGATCTCCCCTCATTGATTGGTTCGTTGACTGCCCAGGGTGATGACACTCCTTTTGTTAAGAATTGCGCCAGTTCTGTGCCTGCCTGTCTGCGTGTTGACGCACTGCTTGCTCACCGGCTTACGGACCGGTTACATTTGCGTTTACATACTGGAAATATAATTACTACTTAATTCACTACTTGCGTACTTATTGGCTCATACGGGATACAATAGCCCCCATCTTCCATCGAGCTAGTTCAACGTAAACCAGGTTGAACAGTAAGACAACCGAAATGATATAGGCGCTGAAGAAAAACAAATATGAGCAAATGGGTTCAACGAGAACGCTGTTATTTCACAAGCATTGAAGCTATCACCTCAGCTGGTGATGAGGTGTTCGCAAACGAATTACCAAGCTCGGCGAACAGACGAAATTGAATTCAATTCACTGGAGCTATGATAATCTCTATGATAATTTCAGTACTTTACCAGCTTCATTCCAATGCACCCTTGGCACATTATCAGGAAGTACTGTTATAGTACGAAATTTGTGAACAATTTTCGATTTACCAGGGACATTAAATAATAACATGGGAGATAAAGAATCTTCCACAAAGAAGTATTTACATCCGAATCAGAAAGATCAGTGTTTATCATGTACGCTTTTACTTCATTGGCCTAGTTCACAAGAATGCATTGTGTACCTGTGAAAATTATAATCGACGAATCTAGTCCTATACAAACCAAGCGCTATAAGGTGGCAATTGGACCTTCTCAGTGATGGAGGATATAAAACTAGGTCTCAAGACGTGGCAAAATTGTTTCCGTGAGAGAAGCGTTGCACTATACCAAATAGAGAATTTGGGCCTACCGTGGACAATCACTCAAACCGCTTGATTTTCCCTAATCTATCTGGCGAATAAAAATGCTGAAACAAATTCGTAGATGTCCTTTCAAAATAAAATATTAAAAATATACTACAAACTACGAGTGCATTCCATTTGTCTATCATATCACAAACATATACATGACGATGATTGGATTATCGGAGTGATTTTGTATGAGTATGTTGCTCTGGGATGGTATCTGATCCGACTGCGCAAAACCTCCTTCCGTTTTCCTGGTCAGGCAGAATGAAAAATCAATAATGAATAGCCTTCTTTCTGGTTCACCATTTTTAACGGATTTACATACAAAGGCTTTCAGTTCATAATGAACGATTAGGTTAACTTCAAAAAGTCACTGTAATGAAAAAAGAAATGTATTTAACACATAATTTATTCCTAAAAACAAAGTGAAAACAGGTTGGGGGATTTCATTTGGTCCGGGTCTCGGTAAAGATGACAGGTGTCCATACTCTGACTACTTTAGGAACATTCAATCCAAACGCAATTGAGTAATAACCTCCAAAGCCCCAGTATGATCGGCGGTGGGTGTCCAGGGTTGCGGCTGATCTCCCTTCCCTTGCACTTCGTGAAATTCTCCCATAAGATCAAGCTTCTCTGCCTCTGCCGAGGAAGCCCCACTCACAGCCTCCTCGTCGTAGGGGTCGTTTCCCATCAAAGTGAGAAGACAAAAAGGTAACATCCGGGGCTATAACCGGGTTCATGAACACTGTTAGTTCACCTGGGGAGTCAACCAAA